ATTGGATAAAAATCGAGTGAAACATCCTCCACCTGGTGCCATATTGTGCAACTTTCATGGAGAGGGGGGGTAAGGGGAGGGGGGTGTTCCGCAAGATTTTAGAGGGGTGGTCTGCGGAACCGAAAGTAGAACTTAGATTCAGGGGACGGCCCAGATTGAGCACTTCACGAGTCCGGGGAAGGGCCAAACGATGCCCTTCACTGGTACGGGTGCCAGTAGAATAAAGCCTTTTAAATGGTAGATATGCGCCAAACATAGCCCAAAATGTTCAGGGAGTTAAGGGCAAATGCCCTTGAATCGACAGCCCTGGTTGGGACGTGTACAAGAGCAGCAACTCAAGTTCCATTCCCACACTCAGTTCTGTGACTCATTGTGACTGTACAACCTGCAACACCTTATCCAGTCTCACTGGTCTCCTTCCTAAAGCATTCAGAATTGCTCTTTGCCGCTTCGAAGCTGTGCTGAACATTTGTAAGCACACAATCACAACTGACGACGAATTTGAGTTTGAGAATGACTGCGCCATGGCAGGCGAGAGAGTGTGTCGAGCTAGAGACTTTCCCTAACACTCCGTTCGACGCCCTCCGAAACGAGCAAACGTCAGGATGGAACGGCTGGCGTCACGACAACATGAAACCACAAACGGAAGACGGCCGCGGCAATGCATTACGCCTCGAAAGCGGGGAGTTCACTCTCACAAACACTTCTAAGACTCTTGAACTCCTCACTTCAGAGCACTGTTTAACTCGACCTTCCCCCGTAACGCTTCCGCTGAACGAAGCCATGCGGCGAAACTTCGCGCAGCTCCCTTATGAAAGTCTGACACGGCTTCAAGTCGGACCCGAAACAGGCGGAGAAAGCGAAGCAGGCGGAACTAGCGGCGCAGCTGGCGCAGGCGGAACAAGCAGAGCCATGATGGAGGTCTTTATGGGCGAGAACTTTCCACAAAAAATCGTCGGCGCTGGCGGAAATCCGAGCAGGGCGGAAACGAGCCTCGCGGAGCAGGAGCGGCGGAGGGCCGCCGCGCAGCCGGCTCCTTTTGCTGTTCAGGCCGAGCTGAATTTTGAAAGAGATTGGAGGGATTACGCGGAAAAAGCGGGTTCGAAGATCGGGCCCGGTGGTGCTGCGAAGAACTGCGCGGAAATTGCTTCGCCGAGCTCTGGCGCGTCAGTGGAATGCGCGCGCGTAGTGACTCCGCCCGCTACCGGCGGAACCGGCACCGGCATCGCGTCGGGTTTTGACCTGAACGAACCCCCGACACAGCAGGAGGACGAGCTCGCTCCTAGCGCGGATGCGGTCGCCCCTACCTCTGCTGCTGACGCTGCCACTTACCTGGGGCTGCGACGTCCTGGCGATTTGACAGAGGCGGGGGAGGCGGCTTTTGCGGGCACTGCCCGTTTCAATGAGCCGCGTGGCGTCGTTTTGGCAACATCGCCGACTGAATCGCCTGCGGTAGCTGATGCGACGGCTGTGGAGGGACGGCGACTTTCGCTGTCGCAAGAGAAACGGAGCTGGAAGGACTTCGCGATTTTCGAGAATGGCGGAGTGTGGGCGGGGAACTGCGGGGTAAGCGGCGGCGGCGGCGGATTGGGTGGCGGAAGCTGTGATGTTCGAAACGCAGACGTTTCGAACGGGCGCCGCCAGGAAATCGCATCCATGTCGTGGAAATCCGATTCGCGAGCGACAGCTCAGTTCGGAAACCCTAACTCATTTGCGGCGGAAGGTTCGGCGGATCACGACAGGCGAATGGCGGATTCTGCTGGTATTCTCAAGTCGCCGAAATTGCTTATGAACAGCTGGGGGATGGGGAGCTGTGCCACGATGGGTAGCAGAGATAACTGCTACGAAGTGAGCAAACCGAGTGGAGATTTGGCGGGAAAAGTTGGTGTTGGAAATCTGGGAACTGGGTGGCAACGCGGTGACCGTAACGCGGCTGGCTTCAGCGAAACCCACGGTTACCAGTTCGCTGCTCCTCGGCGCTCAACTACTTTTCATTCAGCTCCTCCTGAGAATAATGGAATCCGCGCTACTGGGTCACATTCGTTTTTGGAACCACGTAGTGTTCTTGGCAAGCACACATTAGGCGGAGCGGCTATCGCAAATGTGGGACGGCAGTTTTCCGAGCCCCTTTTTGGAAACAAACGCCCTCATTTGAGTCACACCTGCGACTACAGTCACAGTTTGAGCAATGGCGGTTATGGATTCGCCAGCCACGGGCAAACGCATTCAGAAATGACATTTGCTACAAACAGGAGTGACGGGAGTCGGCTGAGCGACAGGAGTAATCTCCGAAATACCCTTCTCCAAAAAATGGCGCTCGCAAGGACACCCTCCGGCTCCACTCAAGCTCCAGAAGAACCGCACGGCCCAGGAGGTGGGGAAATGAGGAGTTGGGGAGTAACTTCTGGAGCTAAACGAGGCGACTCAATAATGGGGATACGGCAGACGGCAAGTGGCAGTGAGTGGATGAATCCAGAGGAGCAGCAGCAGCTGGAGGGGAGAAGCATGGGAAGTCCAACTGCAAGCGCAGATAAGCGGTGGTTTCCACTATCTGCATCCCAACCAGCTGGCGATTTTGATAAGAGGGGCGCTGGGTACAACCCTCAATTTCGCCACTCGTTTGACTCTTTCAACTCTACATTTGATACGCTGGATGCGGATTTGATTGAGATTCGCCGCAGGGCAATCATGAGCCTGCCGCCCATTGGGAAGCGCCACGTGCGGCCGGAGGGGTATGCTTGCTCGTTCTGTGGCCTCAATTTCGCCACGTCACAGGCTCTGGGCGGCCACATGACCTGTCACCTGCGCAGAAGAAAGCAAAGTTTGCCTGACAAGGCCGCTGCTGGTGGTGATGCTGCTGGTGATGCTGAAACAGCATCGCGAAAAGTCCAGAGCAAACCAGCAGCAGCAGAAGCAGCAGCAGCAGAAGCAGCACCAGCAGCAGGAGCAGAAGCAGCAGCAGCAGCAGCAGCAGCAGCAGCAGCAGCAGCAGCAGCAGCAGCAGCAGCAGGAGCAGAAGCAGCAGCAGCAGCAGCAGCAGGAGAAGGAGAAGGAGAGCGCACAGAAGCAGCAGAAGACGCAGCTGCAGCAGCAGCAGGTGACAGAGGGAGGTTTGCCCCTCGCACGGGGATATTGTCCGGGTTTTCCCGCTACACGCATGCTATTGCCGGAATTGACCTGCTCGATTCAACTCCGCCCGACTCGCACCACAAGAACCACAGCCGCCTAGTCACAGCAACACGGTTCCCTGGCTCCACCAATTTCTCAAGTGCTGAAAAAAGAGGAGGGGGATGGAGCCAAGTGGAAGCAGCAACTGGAGGCGATTCAAGCCGCGCTGAGTGACTGGAGGGGGAATGGGAACAAACACTGAGCCGAACCATCACAACAACACACGGTTCCCTGGCTCCACCGATTTCTCAAGCGCTGAAAAAGGAGGAGGGGGGAGGGAGCCAAGTGGCAACAGCAGCTTGAGGCGATTCAAGCTGCACTGAGTGATTGGAGGGAGAAAGGGAATAAACACTGAGCCGACTCAAAAGTCGCTTCCACTCAAGCTCGGAAAGAGAGGAGGGAGGTGGTTGGAACCAAGAGTAGATTCAAGCAGCGCTGAGTGACTGGAGGGAGAATGGGAACAAACACTGAGCCGACCCATACCGTTAGTCACTTTCACTCAGAGCGTTGGAAAAAGAGGGGGGGGAGGGAGCCAAGTGGCAGCAGCAACTGGAGGTGCAACCTGTGCTTTTGCTGAAAGTAGCTAGTCCAACAGCCTGTGATGCAAATTGCAGCACAGAGGAGCGCAGAAGAGTTGATCAGGTGAAGATGGATAGTGGAGGGAGAATTGCACTGGGAAAAAGCCCCATATGGGCCATGACAAGGCTTGTACTAAGTTGCTCTGTGTGATGCATTGTAGTGTAGCAGATTTAGAGTTTGCTTGCCATTTGTACAAGTGTGCTGAACTGAGCCTAAATCGAAAGGAAATAAACGAGATGCATGATACACTCTCAGATAAGTCATCCCCATTGCTGCATTTTCTAATTCGGCTAAATTTCAGGTTGCTCAGTTTCAAGACCCTTCTACGCCCGACTCTTGCTGCTGCCGCCTCTCCTCTTCTTCCCCTGTTATAAATGCAGCCAGAAGAAAACGAAGAAAGAAGAACAGGGAGGAAGAAGAAGGCACAAACAAAGAGCAAACCAGGTCAGGGTGCAGACCAGACACACAAAGAGAAGTAACAAAGAGAAGGACTACATACAAACAGCAGGGATTTGAGAATTCTCAAAAACCAAAAGTAACAGAGGGAAGGACTAGAAGCAGCAGGGAACAGGGGAGCAAAACCACAATATTCGACAATCCAACAACAACACAAGATCCAACAGAGAGGTGCCTGAGAAGCAAGTACTCATGAGTTCGATCGTGGCTCCTCGAGTGCGCCTCTCCAGCTTGGCTTATCATTTCGCCAAGTTTCACCACCACAGGCCTCAAACGTAACAAAAAGTGGGGTGGAGAGGCAGAGAGTGCGGTGGAGCGGCAGAGTGGGGTGGAGCGGCACCGAAGGAAGGCAAGAGCAGCAGCACGTGCGCATGAGTTCAATCATAGATAGCTGTCTGCGCCTCTCCAGCTTGGTTCATTTTAACTCGTTGTAAACCTAAATGGGGAGCTTCTAAAATACAACGCCACGCACTCATGGTTCGATCAGATCAGAGCTCGCTCTGTGGGCCTCTCCAGCCTGGCTAGCCGCTTCGTCTACGCAAAACTCGACTCGCTGTGTGGGCCTCACCAGCTTGGCTAGCCGCTTCGCCGCAGGTTCAAATGTAACAGAGAGGAAGAATTGCAAGAGCAGAGCAGGCAGTCTTAAACCCATATGAAGAGGCAAGAGGATCACGTACTCATGAGCAGAGCAGGCAAGAGGATCACGTACTCATGAGCAGAGCAGGCAAGAGGATCACGTACTCATGAGCAGAGCAGGCAAGAGGATCACGTACTCATGAGCAGAGCAGGCAAGAGGATCACGTACTCATGAGTTCGACCATCGCTCGCTGCGTCCGTCTCTCCAGCTTCGCTAGCCGCTTCGCCACATCCCGCCGTAAGTCCCAGTTGGGCTTGCGAGGAGCGATGGCTGTTACTGGGTCCTGATGGGTTTAGATAGCAAAGTGATGGAGGGAAAAGGATGGGAGCAGCAGGATGGAGGGGAAAGAAAGGGAGCAGCAGGATGGAGGGGAAAGAAAGGGAGCAGCAGGATGGAGGCGATAAGTGCATCTCTCCATCTTGGCTAGTCGCTTTGCCACATCCCTTCTTAAGTCCCAAAGGACCTTGCGAGGAGCGATGGCCGTTACTGGGTCCACGTGGGAAGGAGGGAGCAGCAAGATGGAGGGAGAATGAAGGACAGTGAGGAGGGAAAATGAGCGCGTCACGACGAGTGCACCAGACAACTTGGTTTTCGAGGCGCCTCAAGAGGGGGCAGCATCAATCAATGAGGGAGAATAGACAGAACGGAGGGAAAATGAGGGCGTCGGGACAAGTGCGCCAGACTACTTGGTTCATAGTTTTGCCAGCAGGGGGCTCATTGTAGATTGCTGCAGGCTATATTGGAGCGACTTTTGAGAATTCTCAAAAGCCACTCTACTACTTGGTTCATAGTTTTGCCACCACAGGGCTCATTGTAGATTGCTGCGGGCTAGGCTAGCCCATAAAGCCTCTTAGAATACCAAACCCTTTTTCCTCCTTTCTTTCTTTCTTTCTTTCTTTCTTTCTTTCTTTCTTTCTTTCTTTTTTTCTTTCTTCATTTTTTTATTTTGTTCTATCTTTCTCTCTTTCTTTCTTTCTCTCTCGCTCTTTATTCCTTCGTACCTATCAGATCTATTTATACTCACCTCGTTCGGGTCTAAGAACAGTGGCTGGGCGGCGGTAGGTTCCTGGAACTTGGGGAGCTGCGCTGGAGGAAGCTTCCTCTCCATCAGCTGGTCGTCCCGAGGCAAGTAGCTCCGGAACCGAACCTCCGCCACAGGCTCGTTCTCCCTGTATACCAGAGGATTAGAAAGGGGTAGAGTGAGAGAGAGAGGGAAAAACTTGGAGCTACGAGCTTGGGCATTGACCGGGAAAGTCATGAAAGATTTGCAATAGAAGGTGATATAAGCAGAAGGGGGGGAGACTGGAAGAGAAGGAGGGGGGTGGTTGGGAAGGGGGATAGAGAGACAGACACATTGCTGAGCTTGGGCATTGACCGGGGAAGTCATGAAAGATTTGCAATAGAAGGTGATACAAGCAGAAGGAAAGGGGAGGAAAGGGGGGGTGGGGGGGTTGGTTGGGAAGGGGTAGAGAGAGACACGCACACAGAGCTACGAGCTTGGGCATTGACCGGGGAAGCCATGACAGATTTGCAATAGAAGGTGATACAAGAAGAAGGAAAGGGGAGGAGAAGGTGGGTGGTTGGAGAGGGGTAGAGAGAGACACGCACATAGAGCTACGAGCTTGGGCATTGATTGACCAGGAAAGGCATGACAGATTTGCGAATAAGAATTATACAAGCAGAGGGGGGGTAGGGGGGGGCGGGGGGGGTGGGTGGTTGGGAAGCGGGGGAGAGAGAGACAGACACTGGGCTACGAGTTTGGGCATTGGCCAGGAAAGAAATGACAGCTTAAATATTTGAAAGAGTGATACGAACAGGGGGGCTCAAAAACGGGTAGAGGGGGGTAGGGCTACGAGCTTGGGCATTGATTGACCAGGAAAGCCATGACCAGATTTGCAAATAGCAATTACACAAGCAGAGAGAGGGGGGCGGGCGGGGTGGATGGGTGGTTGGGAAGCGGTGGAGAGAGCGACACTCAGAGCTACGAGCTTGGGCATTGACCAGGAATGCCATGACAGATTCGCGAATAGGAATTATACCAGCAGAGGTGGGGAGGGGGGGAGAGAGACATTGCTACGTGCTTGGGCATTGAACAGAGGAATTTCCTCGCAGTGTCCCACAGAGGAGTTCACTCACACAACGAGCTTGCTACGAGCTAAGCGTGTCTAAAACGCACGAGGGCTCGAAAAAACATTGAGGAGTACGGGGTCTGGGAGTTGCTACGAGCTGAGCTGGGGATTCAACAGCGGAATTCCCAAAGTGTCTTAAACGCACGACGGCTCGTAAATAATGGAGGAGTACGGGGACTGGGGGGGCGCCCATGCACGTACGAGACGTTTTTTGAGGCGCTTCAAAAATCGGGGACTGGGGGAGCGCACATGCGCGCACCGGGACGTCCTGACGCAAGAGCGCGACATGACTTGCTTGATGTATTTTGAGTCGACTCAAAATGCAAATGGAGGAGTACGGGGACGGGGGGAGCGCACACGTGGATACGGGACGTCCTGACGCAAGAGCTCGGCATGACTTGCGCGGCAAATCCCCGACCATTTCATGCCGCTCCCTCCCATCCCCCTCCTCCCCCACCCCACCTTCCCCTCCCCCTCCACCTCCCACAACCCCCTCCCACAACCCCTCGCCCTTCCCTTCCTTTCCCTTCCCTCCCCCCTCTTTCGTCTCCCTCACCCTTTCCCCCTTCCCCCCGACCCCCCCCATTCCCCCACCTCTCCCCCCCCTCCGGAGAATGAACGCACTTTCCATCGTCGCCGTCTGCTAGCAGGCTAGCCGTTTTCTCGCCGTCTGTTGTCACGATCGACGCCGCCTCCCGTAACGCTCGCAGCCGCTCTTTCCGCTCCCGCGCCGCCTCCTCCAGCTCCATCCCTCCCCGCCGCGCGAGTTTGATCGGATTACTAACGCACGGCGTGCGACTAACAGGAGGGACACTAATGAATGGAACTAACACCAGAGATTGAGATTCAGGCAGAACGGAAAAAATAAACGCCCGGCGAGCAACTAGCGGAAAGCACTCTAATCAACGAACTAACAATAAGCGTGTTCGCCTACAGTTCTAAAGCCAGGCAGAAACGAGATCAAACGCCTGGTGAGCAATGAATGGTTCTATGAAACCCGAAATCCAAGTAATATCGGGCGCGGCAGCTAGTGAACGTAATTATACTTATATATAAATCATCCAAAAACGTTCGGACTATCACTTTATGCTAAGTCGCCAATTCAGGCGACACGGGAAGACTGCTGCTTCGGCTTCTTCAAGTACTAACTTGCCGCAAGACCTAATTGCGGTTCGGTCGTGGGTTTCGTACCGCAGAATGGCTATTTTGCATTCCAGAGCGGTTTAGTAGGTTTTGAGCGAAACAATAAATCCTAAAGCGGCCTTTAAAAACATTTTGGGTGTAGTACAAGCAGGACCTATTGCTCCTTTTTGCATGCCACTTAACCCATGCGAACCTTTCTTTACTTTTCTATTAAGAACAATATTGGCTATTTAGGGTGGCGCATTCAACACCCAGCCAAGAGCAAGGATGGTCGTGGTTCCTTTCCACGCCAGCCTAATAGCCCCATCCTCTAGCAATAACCCAAATCCAAGAGGAAACCTCTTCAGCATACTATGCATAGCCTCGGTAACAGCTCCGGGGATCTGCTTCGGCGCAAACCCTAGCCTGAGCATCCTCCCCCGCCATTGGTCAAGCGTCTCCGGCCGGTGAACCCGTTCCACCCCTTCACACGACACAATATTCACAATCGTCCGGCCGAAATAAAGCTCCTCGAAAATGGAGAGCAGGCATTTGTCGGCGGCGCCGATAAGAGCGTCGTGCGAGCAGAAGACGGAGAGATGATGGTCGAGAATGTGTTGGAAGCGGGAGAGGAAGGGGCGGGCGTTGGAGTCTAGATCCATCTCTACAAACGTGAAGAGCGCGGGCTTTAAGTCGTGGATCCACTGAGAGGTATCGAGAGGGAGGAGGGGACAGGGAAGAGAGGAAGGGGGGTGAGAGAAGGGGCCAACACAACACAACACCTCAAGGCAGGGAAACAGACAGCGGCGCCAATCAGTGCGTCGTGGGAGCAGAAGACGGAGAGGGGGTGGTCGAGAATGTGTTGGAAGCGGGAGAGGAAGGGGCGGGCGTTGGAGTCGAGATCCATCTCTACAAACGTGAAGAGAGCGGGCTTTAAGTCGTGGATCCACTGAGAGGTATCGAGAGGGAGGAGGGGACAGGGAAGAGAGGAAGGGGGGTGAGAGAAGGGGCCAACACAACACAACACCTCAAGGCAGGGAAACAGACAGCGGCGCCAATCAGTGCGTCGTGGGAGCAGAAGACGGAGAGGGGGTGGTCGAGAACGTGTTGGAAGCGGGAGAGGAAGGGGCGGGCGTTGGAGTCTAGATCCATCTCTACAAACGTGAAGAGCGCGGGCTTTTGAGTCGTGGTCCGTAGATCCATGGGGGGAGGAAGGAGATGGGAGTAGGAGAAGGAAAGAGGAAGGAGATGGGAGTAGGAGAAGGAAAGAGGAAGGAGATGGGGAGTAGGAGAAGGAAAGAGGAAGGAGATGGGGAGTAGGAGAAGGAAAGAGGAAGGAGATGGGGAGTAGGGAAGGCCAAAGGTTCATATTGAGATCCAATTCACCGAACGTGAAGAGCGCGGGCGGGCTTTAAGTCGTAGATCCACTGAGGGTTAGTGAGGGGGAGGAGGGGACAGGGAAGAGAGGGGGGGGTGGGGGGGGGGGGGGGGAGGGGAGTTGAGAGAAGGAGCCACTCCATAGAACCAACACAACACCTCAAGGCGGGGCTTTAAGTCGTGGATCCACTGGGGGGTGAATGGGGGTAGGGGATGCAATGGCTTTAAGGTAAGAAGGAGATGAGATATAAGGGGAGGATCCGAAACATAAGCTCACCTCACGGTTCACAGAAGCATTGCCTGGATGGTTTGTCATCTTATATCATCTTATATCATCTTATATCATCTTATATAATCTTATATCATCTTATATCATCTTATATCATCTTATATCATCTTATATCATCTTGTAAGACTGCACTCAGGCTACTCGCTCTGATAGAATGCAGTCTCTGGGGCCTCGGTCCATGACAGAATCGTTTGGTAAGTTCTTGAGCACGAGATGCACTGCCTCTGTTCCAAAACTAGTTACCCATTAACAGCTGATTAACACGGGCTACTCACCCTGAGAATGCAGTCTCTGGGCCCGTGGTCCACAACAGAATCGTCTGGAAAGTTCATGAGCTCGAGATGCACTGCCTCTGTTTCCAAGACTAGTTACCCATTATGCGTTGACTAATATGGGCTACTCACCCTGAGAATGCAGTCTCTGGGCCCATGGTCCACAACAGAATCGTCTGGAAAATTCATGAGCTCGAGATGTGCGCACACCACCAGCGTCTCACTCCACCTCCTCTTCACCTGCAGAGAAATGGGGAGAGGAGATAAGCAGTGAAAGAGGGGAAGGAGAGGAAGCTCATGAGCTTGAGATGTGCGCACACCGCCAGCGTCTCACTCCCCCTCCTTCCGTCTTGATCCGACCCGAATAGGGAACTGAAACACATACCGGATAGAGCAGGGCCAGACACGCTCACTGGACATAGCAGAGGTGATCCACACCCCCACGCACCTGGTACAGAAGGTGCAGCTGATTCTCGTCAATATCGATGTACTCAAACTCAAAAGGCACGCCCAGCCGCATGGCTCCCCCCCTCTGCTACATAGAAGTTGAGGCACACCAGGGATGATTCAACCCACCTGGTACAGAAGGTGCAGTTGGTTCTCGTCAATATCGATATACTCAAACTCGAAAGGCACGCCCAGCCGCATCGCCATCCCCCTCAACCTCCTCCCCACCTCCGCCACTGCCCGCAGGCTCTTAAAATCCTTCCGCCCCGGGCAGACGAAAGTCGTTGTGTCCAGCCCCGTGACACGGAGGTGCGGCGGGCCGCCCGGGCGGGCAGCAAAAAGTTCCATGATGGTGGGCAGGTGGAAGGGAAGGAGTTCTCCAAAGTCGATGAGGTGGACGTGGGAGGCGGAGGAGACGGCGTGCAGAAACATCCCCGTTATTGCCATGTTGCCAAAGGCGGGGTACGGCGTGCTTGTAGCGAACCAGGCACGTGCTTCATCCAGCTCCTGAAAAGGGAGGGGTGGAGAGGCGTGGAGAGAGGTGAAGATGGGTGGCAAGCGGTGGAAAGGGGTGGAGAGGGATGGAGAGCGGTGGAGAGGGAGAAAGAGCACGTGGAAGGGGAGGAGTTCTTCGAAGTCGATGAGGTGGACGTGGGAGGCGGAGGAGACGGCGTAGAGAACATGTCCGTTATTGGGAAGGGGAGGGTAAGAAGGGAGAAAGGGAAGGGGAGGGTAAGGAAAGGGAGGGAGGGTAAAGGGAGAAGGAAGGGAGGGTAAGAAGGGAGAAAGGGAAGGGGAGGGTAAGAAGGGAGAAAGGGAAGGGGAGGGTAAGAAGGGAGAAAGGGAAGGGGAGGGTAAGAAGGGAGAAAGGGAAGGGGAGGTACAAGAGAGGAACATCCCCATGTTCCTCTCTTGAAGTGTACCTCGGTTCTTGAGCCATATTGCCAAAGGAAGGAAGAGTAATCCGTCTCTTGAGCTCTCGTAACAACCCATCCACTACTATGTGGTATATCACTCGTTATAAACACACCCATTTTTAGCATAACCTCAACATAATTACGAAAACACATACCTTGGGAGTTTTCCGAACGGGAGTGCTGAAGTGCTGGTACCCGTTCCCTTGCAGTCTCTTAAACAACCCCTCCACCATATAGTGAATCAATCTCTACTACAATCACACTCAGTAATGGTAAGTATAACCTCCATACAGTCACATACCTTGGGAGTTTTCCGAACGGGAGTGTTGAAGTGCTGGTACCCGTTCCCTTGCAGTCTCTTGAAGAGCCCCTCCACCATATAGTGAATCAATCTCTCCATCGCCATCCCCTTGGGCCGCGCGAGAGGCTTCAGCTGCAAGTATGCCTGCTGCACTTGTGCCTGGAGGGGAGGGGAAGAGGAGGAGAGGGTGCGCGTGCTCATGTACTACTATCCCGGTCCCTTGCAATCTCGTAAACAACCCCTCCACCATATAGCGAATCAATCTCTCCATAGCCGTCCCCTTGGGCCGTGCAAGAGGTTTGAGTTGCAAGTATGCCTGCTGCAGTAGTGCCTGGAGGGGAGGGGAGGAGGGAGGGGAAGGTGGGGGGCGGGGGGAGAATGGGGGGAGGGGGGAGATATGAAGTGCTGGTAACCCGTTCCTTGCACACGCTTGAACAGCCCCTCCCATTCCTCCCTCCCCTCGACCATATAGTGAATCAATCTCTCCATCGCCGTCCCCTTGGGCCGTGCAAGAGGTTTGAGTTGCAAGTATGCCTGCTGCAGTTGTGCCTGGAGGGGAGGGGAAGAGGAGGGGAAGTTGGGTGTGCTAAAGTGCTGGTATCCCGTTCCTTGCACTCTCTTAAACAGCCCCATCCCTCCCTCCCTCCCCTCCACCATATAGTGAATCAATCTCTCCATGGCCGTCCCCTTGGGCCGTGCGAGCGGTTTGAGTTGCAAGTATGCCTGCTGCACTTGTGCCTGGAGGAGGTGCGGAAGGGGAGGGGACGGGGGAGGTCGGGGAGAGAATGGGGGGGGAGGGGGGGCGG